ACTCCAGCTCCAACTCAAATCCCGACGCCCGCCCCAACCCCTGCACTTACTCCAGCTCCCACGCCAGCCCCTACACCTGCACCTACTCCTGCACCTACTCCATCCCCAACTCCTGTACCCACTCCAGCTCCAACCCCAGCACCTACCCCGACTCCTGCGCAATGCGGAGCAATTCTTCCCAACACCGACTTGATTGGGAACGACATCGTAATTCTCGAGCTGTCGACGACAGACCTATGCTGTGTGGCGTGTACGTCAACATCGGGCTGCGTGGCATTCGTGTGGGTCCTTCGCAGCGGTGTTGGCACGTGCATTCTCAAGAGCTCGAAGGGGACGCCTACAACGTTCGCTGGCGCGAGTGCATCGTATTTGATAGTTCCAACACCAGCTCCGACGCCGTCACCGTGCTCGGTTATCGAGTACGATGTCGACTACGCCGGCTACGACATCTTGTTTACTTCTCGCGCTGACTTCATGGATTGCTGCGGCGATTGCCAAGTCACCGTGGGTTGTTCCGTATTCGTGTGGAGCCCCGAGTTCGGGGGAAGATGCTACTTGAAGAGCAAGAAGGGGACCGTGTCGCGGTATGTCGGATCTCGCGCGGGGGTGCTTCCTCTCGTCGGCGCTGCCACCATCATTTCAAATGTGACAGCGGGGTTGTATGGAATCAACTCGCTTCCACCGAACGCCTTCAACTATATAGCAGGCGCTCAGTGGATTGATCAGTCGACATTGGCTGCTGTGAACGCACAGGTCGAGACATTTGTTGCTGCCAATGTCGCCAACAATTTCTCGCATGCGTCAAGTCCAGTCGACATCGCCACCATCAATATTGCCTTGTCCATGACAGTCTATATCAACGTGACGTCCGCTGGCGAGTGCGCCGACATGACGGCCACGTACAAGAACAACTTTTTCACGTACTGGCCGACCAAACTGTACTGCATCATCCACCTTCACACTGCCGCGACAACGCTGCAAATGATTACAGCGACCGGACAAGCCATCACGTTCCCGCAAGACTCGGACCCAGCATACCTCAGTGCGGCTCTCAACAACGTCGCCACCAACGCCGATTGCATCCAGGCGTGCAGAGTCAAAGGCAACTGCGCTGGTGTCGAGTACGTCAGTGCGACGAAGACGTGCAGCTTATACAAACCGCAACCCGCGACGTTCTCGGACGTTGTCGCGGGATGGGTGTACGATCCCGTGTCGAACGTAGACAGCGGCGGCATCCAGTACTCGCAGATGACCATGTCGGCGCTTCCCGCCAGGTATGTCAAGGAGTCGATCCCCGCGGTCGCCTCGCTGCAAGCATGTGCGTCGTCGGCCAAGACCAAGGCGAACACGCTGTTTGGCTACAACGCCAACTCCAAAGTGTGCGTGATGTACGCGCCGACTGCCAGCGCCACTAACCAACTGAGCCTCGTCAACACGCCTCTGGTCCCCGTGCTGCTGGCGGGGACATTCGGCAGCGACGTGGTCAGCGGAGCCATGACGGCTTCGACCGCGTCCGACTGCTACAAGTTGTGCGTGCCGTCTCAGAACTTGTGCTTTGCGTCCGTGTTTGACTCGTCGACGAGCACGTGCACCTACGTGCAGCCGTC